TAATGATTTGAAAACTCAGATGATTTCTTATGGAATATTGAAAGAAAATTTTCATTTGACTTTTTTCACACCAATAACAATTGTTATCCTGTTGAATTAAAACTTTATGCAAATAAATGCAAAATATAAGTTTATGTATGACATAATTCGTCAAACATATTGTAGCACGCAACATTATTGAAGATCAATACAATAATAGAAACTTTGATTGCAAATTGTAAAAATTATTTTTCACTTTTGAAGCAGATGATGTAGAAAAAACTTAGAAATGTACAAACAAAATGATGGAAATGCTAGGGATGGGGTGTTTGGACAAGCAATTATATGATCCAATATTAAACATTTCACTATTTTTAGTATCTCGATCGAATTAAATGATGACCGCGAATGAGATGGGTGGAAGCTTTGGAAAAAATGTAAGAAAAGGTGTTCAAATATAAGGCATACCAAATTGAACTCAACGAAGGAAGAAAGTATTCAGAATGAAGTCTACTGATGATATTAGTATAATTATATATTGAAATTCTAAAAAATTTTTAGAGGTTTTGAATTTAAATAATTATTTTCTGTGCAATACAACGCGCAATCATAACTATTGAAAGGAAGCAGCCATATTGAAATTTAATTCATCTTAATCATATGAAAGTAAAATTTTAATAAGTAATTATTACATGATTATTATATTATCTAAAAGCGTCCTAAAAATTTTTTTACAACAATTTTTTACTGCTATGCTTCGAAATGCATTTCTTTTGATTTCCGCAAACAATTTATTGAATTATTGTTAATTTTAACAGCTAAACGATAATCTTTATAATTATTATAAAAATATACGATAACAATGAACGATAATAACATACGGTAACAATAATAATAATAATAATTTAATGAATAGCATATTTTCGGACCTTCAAATCTGCAATATTCAAATTTTTAATTTCGCGCTTATTTTTGTGTTTTGAAAATATTTTTGCTAGCAAATTTTTGCACTTTTTAATAATTTTTAAATTTAAATGCGATTTCATTAATTAGTTAAATTTATCGTTAATATTTTATAATTATATTAAAAGATAATATCAATGAATAAGTTAGTTTTTAATTTGATATTGAAATGCAGTTTTCTTTTCTAAGTTATTTTTTGAGCTTAGTATAAAACTTTACGCGTGACGTTGGTTATTTAGATTTTGTTTTCCAATTTAAGTGAAACAACATTCACATTTAATATGTATTTGTATATAGTAAAGTTATTTTAAATTTTTTTTTTCGAAAAATCCTTGAGAACTGAGTACACATTCATACATATATGTACTCGTATTGATTTATCAAATGTGTTTAAATGTAATTATAATTTGCAATGAATTTAAACGAAAAATATTTTTAATTCAAAGTCAAATAATTCAAAATATTAGACTTTTTTTCATAATTTTAATCGCTCCATGTGCTCTTCATCTCATCCCTAACTGCATATTGCAATATTTTTCCATTTAATCTCGTATTCAGTTACAAATAATCAAAACTATTATTATTTTATCAATAAATGACGTGACATAAATTCGAACAGCAAAAAATAATAATAAAAATAAAATATAATTTTATACTAAATTGTACACAACCGCGTAAATTATTCATTAACATCGTCATTGTATAAAGTACGTGTGGTTATTCTTATTTTCAAAATGAATTTTTAACTTTAAAATAACATAATGAAAAGATTTTTGTTTTGATTCACCTCAGGATATAGAGATGAAGATGACTTTATTTTGAAAGTTGAAGCCGAATAAAAATTATAAATTCTAATAATACATAAGCAACAATGGCGCATAATCATAAATGACAAAATTAAAGTCAGCCATCCCGGTTTTCATTAATAAGTACGTTCAATAAATTACGTTCAAACTAAGGGTTTATTATAGTAGCACATTTCCTTAAAACAGTAAATTGAAAACAATTTTTATTTTTCATTAAACGGTGTTGTATTTACAATCTTAACTTTATTTATGAAAAAAAAAAAAAAAAAATTATTGCATACCGCTAGGGGCAAAGCAAATTACTATTGCATATCATTAGCGGCAGAACAATTATTATTTCGAAGTATTATTTCGCTCAAAATATAACAATGCGATAGTTATAATTAAATAATTTAAAACTTTAAACACGATTTCTATTAGGAAGTTATATCATTGCTTTATCGCCTTTATAGAAATTAAATAAGCTCTTTAAATGTAGTTTCCTAAGCACGAATTGCCAAAAAATTTAAATTTTGCTAATAAATTTTCAAAGGCTAAAGGGAAGAGAAGTTAAGAAAGTTTATTATAATGTTCAAACTTACATGAGCTAAAGTTTATTATAATGTTCAAACTTACTTGACTGAGCTAAAACTAAACGATTTCAGACTTGTAAAAATCGCCGTTTAATATAAAATTTGGAAAATATTCAGAAAAAACTTCTTGGTTACTTATTGGCTGCGGCAGAAGAAGCGCGTCGTGATTTTTCTACACTTGTAAAATTATAGTTTCACAATAGCTTGTCAAAAGAAAATCTAGAGGTTATAATTATTATATGGAAATAGTATGTTCTTGTCTTAGAAATCTTGTAAGCCAATCCATGTACGGACAAACGGAGAGATTAAAATAAATAACCACATTTTTTGCGAATTTTGTTTTAAATTTGCTAAAAATATTTTTTTTTTATTTTTTTGTTGATCATGCTGATGATACTCAACATTGCGCATACTGTAGTGAATGTACTTGCATATTATGATAATAATAATGATAATAGTAATCACAAAATAATGATTATCATGATGATATTAATGCTATTTTACTAGTTCAATGTCAGCTTTATAACATAAAACATACATACCTTTATACACATATACACACTATATTTATATCTTCATAATATGTTGCATATGTCTATCAAAAATGTACACGTACATATGATTTTAAATTCATAAATCTCAAGATTTACACATAAAATAAATGAAGTGTCAGTAAAACAGGAGCGACGCCGCGACGCGACATTTCTGTAATATTTGCAATGTGCAATTCTACATTTTGTTTTTTTATTCATTATAAAAATTATTGCATTAATAATAAATTCGTATGTGGTATTGCCATAATTGGGAAAAAAATTTAATTTTTTTTCTTTTTGGTATTTTGGTAAAAAAAAATTTTTATGAGTGAGAAAAAAATTTCAATACTTTTGTTTTTTTGGTGTTTTTAGTACGTAAAATTTTGAATTATGGTATGAAATATTTTGAAATTTTACAGAATTTTTGTAACACACATTTTTTTTTGGTTTCTAAAGCATATAATGTTGTTGAAATATAAGACGAAAAAAAAAATGAAGTTGCGTTTGATATTTTTAATATTATTGTGTAGGTTTTATTTGAATTAAGGTAAGAAAATGGGAAAAAAAAGAAGATGAGTAGCGTTTTTCCACTTTTTTTTTTGTTTGTAAAATTATTAAAAAAGGTATTACACATTTTTATTAAGTAAACATGTTTATATTGAATTAAAAGGTGAACGTTTTTCTAAAGGCTTCATCTGGTTTTATATAGACAATACATAATTTTTAATGAATTATTTTAAATGTGGTTTTAATATGAAATTAGCGTTCTCTTTTGATGTTTTATTTACACTGTACCACAAGACTGCCATTATAAAACGGAATTATTAAGAACTATACTGCATATAATTCTAAGTTGTAATGGTGTTGTAATTTAAATTTTATTGCTGTCAAACAAATATGGAATGACACTACTTTTTAAGACTTCTGAGAAAAATAAAAAAAAAAATTTAATCTTAACATATTAAGCCATTTAAAATATGAATGAAAAAATACAAATTACTTCATACAAATGTGTCACACAAGTACAGAAGAATATTGTATCATACAGAATGTTGAATATGCTTTCTAATCTGTTTTGGAAAACTTTTAATATAGTATACTCAAAATTATATTATGATTCAACTGTAGAATACTAACACAATTAAAACTTAAGAAGTTTGTCAGTTTTTTAACAATCTTCTCCAAAACACGTAGAACGTTTTATTAAGAGAAATTTAAAAACTTGCTTTCCGTTGCCTTTTATATAGATTTTTGAAAAATATGGAGCAGGCACTCATATACATACATAAATCTAATTCAAGTAAATAATTAAAATTTAAAAGTTGAATATCACTTAGTATATTCAAAGGAGATTCAAATTTTAAAATTTAGTTGAATTAATAATTTCATTTATACTAAAATATCATTAAATACATATTTGAATGCGTCACGGAATCTCAGAACCTTATTGATTTATACAAAATATTTACGAAAATAAATTGTTGTGTTTAATATGCTAATAAGAGACTTGTTCTGTTTTTGTAATTCTCGATTTTACATAAATTTGTTTTTCTATACCTTTCAAAAGTTTTTCACCAACTAAATTTTTAAAAATTTTCTAAAATACATCAAGGTGTACAAATACTTAATAATTTGTGCACGGTAGATACACAGTAATATTAGAAGTTTAATTCGGTTATCTAAAATCCTTGTGGAGTATAAGTACGAGTGTACTGTATTTAATTGTAGTTTACATTTTTTGGACAAGAATGTTCTAAACTAATAATTAAAATGTATAACTGGTATTCATGAAAAGAATTAAATTTAAAATTAAAGATATTAAATAATAGAATCATAATTTTGATAGTGTACAGATACAGAAAAAAATCTTACGCAGAAGTAAAAAAAAGGCTGAAATTGAATTTCAAGCTTTAGTAGTATTATATAGAGTTTTACCTTACATTTATTGTACTGTCACTCCAAAGATAGTTTTACTCAAAAGAATCAAAACAATTGTATTTACTATGGTAGTTATGTACCCTGCCTCTTATAATCTAAGTTTTCTACACAACTCTAAATTGTTACGAATGTTGTTACCTTTTTTATTATTATTTTATTTTCATATTCTTAAAATAGCATCACTACAATTTTTCAGTGTATTTTTGTACCTATAGTCACAATATAATCATCAAAGTCAAAAATAACATCTTTATTATATTGACTAATTGAATAACCTCAAAATAGTTTGAAAATAAAAAAATATGAATCAATATAATTTGCAAGATAACTGGGAAAGTTGGCATTTTATCCACGGGCTTAAGGCACAATCATAATTGTCAAAAAAAATTAATAAAGTAATTAATTTTAACATGTTAACTACAATGTTGCTTCTATCTATAAAGACACACTTTTTTTTTTAACTTGTGAATACCCTCCTCAATCCTCAATCATCGTTTTATGATTGACATTTTTCTATACAATGTTTTAAATCATCAACTCACAATAATTACTAGGTTTAAATTTTTTTTTCTCTACTCTGCTATGTAGATGCTTCAATCTTTCCCATGGAAGTCCTTGAATTTCTAATATTAAGTCATCTTAGTTTTTTTTTTGCCTTTATTGATAATATCCGGATAATGACAGAAACATGAATGTACATATCTACATGTATACGCGAATGATTATAATATTAAATATTTAAATTTAGAATTTAATTTTTATAATAATTATATAATAAGCAACAAAATGGCTATCTCTACTCTTACATAATTTCATTATTTATTATTTATAAAAAACGTGAATTTAGAAAAACAAAAAATTACACAAAATAACGCGATACGAGTAAAGGCAAAATTTTTACCTGAAGTCTGACTAACAAATTTTCCTCTATAATAATTTGAAAATTTATTAATGATTCATGGAAATATTTATAATTTTTTTTATTTGATTCAGAACGTGCACTCACATAATTAAATTTTAAATTTTTATATTATAAGTTAATCTTTTGAACAACGAAATTAATATAATAATATCTTAATTGCATAAACATTTTGCATAGTTGCCTGCAATCTCTACATTAAAATCGGAAATATGCTTGAATTAATTAAATTAATTCAGTCAACTTTGGGTACCAATGATTATTGTTGAAAATATGAAATTTCTCGAAAATTTTATATTTTTTAAATTGTAAAATTATTGTAGAGCTTAATATTTATGCAAATTTTTAGATCAAAATTGATTCTAATATAAAACTTTGGGTTCATAGGCTTTGATGGTTAAATTTGATGGTGGGATCAATAAAACACACAAAACTTAATCGATACACAACATTATTTAATTGGCGGACATTCAACAGTAACGGCAAGGAAATAAATAAAGTTGCCACGTCATAAATAAAATTGCCACTTCGTTTATAAAATTTACTTATTACTGATTCATTGATCATGAATTTTGTCTGATCCCAAAAGTGTAAAGATAAATTTTCTGTTGGCAAGCATTAAAAACATATTAACAATTTTATAATACCGGGGCATTAAGAGGCATATGAATTTTATTTTTGCCGGCAGATTTTATGTAAATTTTTAACATTTTATTAAATTAAACAAATTTTCAAGTTCATGAAAAAGAAATATTACATTATTTTTTAATTTAGGAGCAATATTAGTTAAAATGATGTGTTTTTATACGAAAATTAAAACAATAATGAAGTCAAGTCTTCAATTTTTGTTTTGCATTAGGATTTTGAAGCTGAAATCTGAAATATCGATTATAGAGTATTCTCATTTTTACAAAAATATTATTTAATATATATTGATGTATTCAAAACACTCAAAATTTGATGTTCTTATAGCAAAACTTCTAAAAATTTCAATTTACTGCGTAAACATACTCATTTTACTACGTTTATTTAAAACTGATCAACCAACAAGATGTGTACATTATGTACATATGCATAAAATACGATCAAAATTTTGATTAATTTTTGAATGAAGGCGTTCACGTGCGGAAATGATTTGAAGCTTATTTGAAAAGATATTTAAAGAGAAAATGTAAGACTCCGATATATGTACCGTTTCTTTGATATTTTGGCCAAATACAGTAAGATGCATATAAAAGCATGACATTAAATCTGTATTAAAATTGGAATAAAATTGAATTGAAATTAAAATTGATATGATATTAATTTGACATAATATGTCAATTTTTTAATAATTGTAAAAAAGAAAACATTAACATCCCTGCAAAAAAATCAACGATCGACAGTACCCAAATTTCCTAAACAAATACATTTGAGATTGATATTTGTTTTAGAGAACGGATTGAATGCAGAATCGAATATCGAAAATTTGTATCGGCGTGCTGCTACGTTAAATATTTTTATATATTTATTCGTTTTTTTCTTTTTAAAGTTAATTGCAAATTTAAAAATTTAATTACAAAAATTAAAAATTAATCAATTTAATTTTCAATTTTGTTGTGATAATGAAAATCGTGATTCTTTGTACCTGTAAATTTTCTCGAAATCAAAATGTGTTTATAAAGTGAGCATCACATAAAAATAAAATTAACTAGAATTAAACACTTTTTTAGATTATTTTTTTGATAATTTTAATTTTAAGAATTATTTCCCAAGCAACATGCATATATTGTATATGTCATAGAGTTGCCAACAACCACATGACACAGGACAGAACAATAATTATTATTGGCTTAGTGGGTATTGAATAATAAAATTATTATTTTTTGAAGCCCCAGCTTTACTTTTTGAATATTTCCTATTTAGAAATTTTTTGACATTGTAATTGAATTTTGTGACTATTTACTGATAAATTTTCCAAGTTATAAATAATACCTTGCCTTATTGGAATCTAAGAAGAATTAAGGCCATATTGCCCTTCAAAATATTGAAATATATTATTCAAACAATTAAAAGTCGTATAAAAAATGTACATATATTAAATGTCAAATGTGTTACTAAATTGCAATTGGAACTACAAGGCTTTGAAAATTAAAAAACTTAAAATTCTTTGTTTAATTTATTTTGAATTTTTAGTGCTTTTTAGTTCTAATTAAGAAAGAACTAAAGAGTACTATTTTATTCTCATTTAGTTTCTTTAGATACAAAAATTATCTATGCTGGCAATCTTGTCCGAATGGAATATAAAATTGAATTAAACTATAAGATAAAAAAATTTTTTTATATTGAAAATCTGATTATTACAGGTGATGTTTCTCAACATACAAACAAAGTATACATTGGATATACACATATGTAGGTATAAAGGTGTAGGTAAATAGCATAATATTGTGAATTTAAAATTGATTGTAAGTTACGGATTGTAGTATAAACAAAACAAAGTTTTAAACTTTCATGGTCATGAAATTATTAATGATTTTGATTTGAGTTTTTTTTTCAACGTTATTTATTTTATTATTCTCTTTTTTTTTTTTGTTCCTCTAATATTTTAATAAAGGTGCTATAAAAATCAAAATGTGAAAAAATACAAAACGCACTGATCAACAAAACATTATTTTATATGCACACACAAACATTTGTATATTGGTGGAGGTTCATCAGAACGTTAAGCTGTTAAATACCGTAATATATTATGACAAGATGCTATTGAATTTTGTGTTATCAAAAAGTGTTAAGTGTTAAACACACATTATAAAATCTTGATAGATTTTATATGTAAAAAAAAAAGTGATTGAGAAAATTAACAGAGATGTAGTAAACCCTCCTTGTCTACAATCATTTAATTATTTGAATTAAACAGGTGATGCTTAATATTTGATAAGAAATACAAATCGTAAAATTAATTTTAAAGTGATTTTCAATTTATCTAAAATAATTAATTGATTATCGATAAATTTAAGATCCTGGGAATATTTTAAAAGTTTATTTTATGCACAACAAAAATTAAATTAATTGTTAATTTTTTAATAAATTTTGGTGGTTGATATTAATTAAATTTTATCTTTAATAATAATTATTACGAAAGAAAAATGAGAAATATAAAATTCACGATTTCAATTGAAATTTATTTCAAATATTTTTATTGATCAGGTTGATTATCTTTGTTATTGTCGTGGAATTTGGCCACTTTTATAAAAACATATGAAATATTGGCCTTTTTAGCACTTTTCCAAAAAATTTTTTGAAAAAAGTGCTTATTAGTTTCACTCTGTCCGTCCGTCCGTCCGTCCGTCCGTCCGTCCGTGGACACTTTTTTTGTTTACAAAACTTCTACACCCTTTAAGATAGAAAGCTGAAATTTCATACGTACATAGATCTTCACTAGAAACTTATTTCCGTAGAACAAAATTTTTACCTATCTCCCCCACTCTAGAAGTTATACCCCCCCAAAACCCTAAAAATAGCCTTTTTTAAATATTTGTTGCAATGAAACCATAAGCATTTTTGAAATTTTGCAAACGCAGAAAGGCAGTGGCTTGCTTCCCCTAGCGCGATATACTATAGTTAAACTTTAGAAAAACAAAATGGCCGTTCAAATTTACCGTTATCTAAAGTCCTTTTTTTCCAAATTTTTGATGTCATTTTTCTTCTAGACCCCAGCCTGTAGAAGCTTGAAATTTTAGGAGCTTTTAGACATTAACAAATAGTTTATTTCGTTAGAAGAAAATTTTTTTCCATCTCCACCCCCTCTCAAGTTATCACCTCTTGAAATTTGTAAAATTTGAATTTTTGACACCTTATATTTCCGAAACCGCAAGCTTTTCCAAATTTTTATAAACGCAAAAAGCTAACGGTAAATTCCATGAAATTAAAAAATATGATTATTTTTCTTAACTCACACAATTAACCCTTAAAATCGAGCATTATGTTAACCCCTTTTCATATTAATTTTTGCTTTATTTCAAAGACTGCATATATGCGTCATCCTAAATTTATGCAATTTTAGAAATAGTTTTGTATATGAATGAAAATAATTTTAATAGTTTGATAGGTATACATAGACTGTATTTAAAAGCAGAATTTCCACTTGTTGAAGGGAAAAGTGCTACAATACAAACCATTGGTTTGACCCAACTTTATTAATGTAAAGTTCCGAAACCCAGTTAACTAAAAAGTTCAATAGAATTTTGTTGATATTTTAATATATATTAAAATTTTTGAGTCATTGACAACTGTACATATCAATTGTAATTACGTTTAGTAATTTATAAATATTTTAAAATTATTGACAGTAATTATTAAAAATATTAAAAATTA